GTTTAAAGGAACTGAACATCAAATAATTCTTTTTAACATTTAAAAAGAATGTTTTGATTTAAAAAGAATTTGAATTATGCCTTTGTTATCAGGAGACCTACTCACCATTCTCTTTTCAAATAGAAAGAAGGGCTTGAAGGACATGCCAGCTTTGTGGAGAATATTTTATTTATAAGATTTTTCTCAAGTGATAATTAAATTAACAGTGGTAATTAATTAGGTTAGCAGCTGAAAGCAATGTAACTATGATGACTCTTGGTATCAAGTTTTCTTTCTGTCCACTCTTTCTACATGAGCAGATGTCTGAGAAATTTGCAGCAGAACACTCAAACTAGTTGTGGTACTGGCAAATTTCTCCTCTCGTAATTTGGTGAATTTATCTGTAGCAGATCTTATAAATTCAGTTTCATGCATGTGTCTGCAGTGCTGTGAATTCTCACATAGTTGTGAGAGGTGAAGTCACTTGGACAAAGCACTGTTACAGGTTTGGTCACTCACCTGAATACAGCCACACCAAAACTCAAAACACCCACAAATCATTATGAGGCCCTAGATATTTGGTCCTTTCTTTTCTCTTCCACCCACCCCACCAAGCTCCCTGCCTCTCTAACCTGGCATAAATGAGTTTAACATAAGCAAGGGACTACACACTACTGAGGTCAATGGAGTTTCCTCATCATTTCAGCGAACCCAAATACTGATCCAGAACACAAAGTTCTCTGGAGCTGACTTTTCCACAGATTCTTGTACAGACACTGTATTTGTACACAGACACAGAATTCTCCAAGTCAGAATAACATCCATTTATATCTACCCTGTAAAATGGAAATAGCTATGTCAGGAACCAAGGCTGTGAAGAATCAAGAACCGCCAGCCAGCAGCTTCAAAAACATGAGATGAACAGACTCAGCACATATCAGATCTCAGTCCCTTCCCTTGAACACCAAAACCACCACCAGCTGGACATAATCTGCCCCCCTGAGCTATGCTGAGGACTAAACTGAAGCTGCTGACCTTAAAATCTCAAGAGTCCCTGAGCTCAGAGTACCAACTCAGCTGTGTTCAGGCACACTCCTGTCGCAGCCCCGATTTGAGGGGCCCCAGACTGCAGGGACAGCCAGGTGCCATTCTCTGCCTGCCCCTCCCAGGCTCTCCCCTTCCCTGGCAGACAGATGGCCTGGCCAAACTTTGGAGGGAGCTGGTGAGAGACTCCTGTGGATTTCAGCGGGAGCTGGAGGAAAGCCAAGGTGAATTTCCTCTGCAACAACACCATTCCCTGCCACCGAGCTTCTCAGGCTCAGCTTATCACCATGGTTTCTAAAGGACTGCTGGTACCAGAAAGTGAACACCCTCCAAAATTACTGCCTTCCTGTAACACAAGCTTCATCACACGTTCTCCTCTGTTTATCTCCTTCATTCCTTGCCCTCACATCAGGTTTTGCCTTTTACTCCCCAAATAAAGCCACTTGTTGGCCAATGGACATTGGCACTGCTGGCAGCAGAAGGGAGGAGAGCAAGGCAGGCTTCCCTGAGCTCTTAGATGTCAGTGAATAATAAAAACATCATGTATAGCTGCCCTCAGCAATACAGCCCTAAACATCTTTCTGTGAATATAGCACAGGGGGAACAGAGTTTTGTTCAAGAGACCAATCTCCTTAAAATGAGGTTACTCCATTGCCTGATCCAGGCTTGGAAACTTGCCTTTTCCAAACTTCCTGGGGCTTGGCTCAAAGCTCACCTAGAGAATTATGGATGGATCCCAGCTGCAGGGGACTAAATTACCCCACTAGCCCCAGAGGAAGCAGCAAAAAGAAGACATCTCATGTCAGCCAAAAGAAAGGTGTGCTGTGAGCTAGTTCACCATTAACCTGTATCACACACACGGCTGTACAGCTTTCTGCAATAATTTCTAACACTCGGAGGCCTGGTTGTCATTTTGATATGATTTATAAAACAGAACAAAACCACAATTTTAATGCTAGAGGGCATTTAGATCAGTTGAGTTTTAATCCAACAGATAATATAAATATCAGCTTCAGCAGTGAAGAGATTTACAGGTCTAATCCAAACTGGATACTTGTCACACACCTCATAACAGAAATTATTTGTTATGAATAGATAAGGAAATACATAGTAAAGAAATGAAAATCATAAAAGAATTTAGGGACAGATGAAACAACTATCCAACACCTTTTTAAATCAGCTAATACCAAAACCTCAAGCATCCTTATAACTGTAAATTTAACTTGGGCTGCTGAAACTGAGGTCATAGTGAGCCAGACCACAGCGATAAGATGAGTAGGTACAGCCCACTAACATCAGAGACACCTCCTTGATTGTGTCAGCCCTTGGCTTGCAACAGCAAGAGACAAAGCAGGAGGTATTTTCAGACAGATTTCTACAGCTGGAAATGTGTTACATTGTGGTTTTCAAATAGCTGAAGTTTAAACTTTGAGAGGACTGAGGTAACAGCAGCGATCAGATACGCTGGGTAGAAGAAAGAAGTGATTTGGGAAAAGATCCATTCCCTTTAAAGTAGACATTAGTCCAGTGAGATTCTTAACAGTGGCTTGACCAAAATACAGTGGTTTTCAGTCAGCAGCAACTTTCACATTGACTTTTATGGACACTGGAGCAGATTTTTTTTTTCCGGTGACTTTTTTACAAGGTTGTTTTCATGTTCCTTGTATTACAGGCATTAGGTTTTTCTAAAAACATGTAAATTGTAAAACTTGACACTACCTTGCTGCCTAGTGAGTTGAACTAAACCAACAGTTTAAATAGCTCAGCTCACAGCTAATAAGCAATTTAAATAGCTTTGCTTTGCTAAGCTCAAGTAGCTGTATCAGGTTTCATAGCACGATCAGTCACTGCCAAATCCATAGGCAGCATTTAAATGAATCATTAGCAATGGTCACCCCCAGGAAAAAGAAAAAAAGGAAAGTAAAAGAAAAAATATTTTAAGAGCTAAGAATCAAGTCATTGCCACAATTTCTATGAGTACATCCCCCATATGTGACACCAAAATGTGCCCAGGAAGCAAATCCCACTCAAATGCCTGGGCCAAAATATATTCATCCAAGTAAGAATGACTGAGCTCCGTGTTCTGACCACATCCTGCTTGAGTACAGAGGTGCCCATTCCACAAAAGGACAAGCTGGAGCATGCAGAGGTGAAGGATTTGCAGCACAGATGGAACCGGAAGAAAACTGGGAGGCTGCTCCTGTGTCATGTGTGCTCAGCAATGCTATCACAGCTGCAGTAATGCTATCACAAATGCACCTCCAAGTTCTCTGGATCAGAAAGGTCAATGGCAAGATAGTTATGTGAGACACGGAGAAAATGCATATTCCCCAAACACCTTGTCTGAACTCTGTTCAGAGTGCAAGAGAAGGTACAACCCACGCTGGAACCCGGGGAACGAATGACACTGGGAGCTTGAGCTCACGTGCACCAGTGTAAGGCTGAAGTGACTGAGACACACATGAAATCAGGGTACTGAACTGGGCTAGTGAACGTGCCTGCTCCCTCTGCAAGTCTGCATGTTCTGACACTGCATGCAGCAGCACAGGCAGGAGCACAACCAGAGCTCTCAGGAGCCTTTGCAGCCAAAGTCCTTCTCAGCTTGAGCAGCTCCGGAGGCAGAGCAGGACCACACCGAGCCCAGAACTCCACCTGGCTGACAGCAAGGGTGGAGAGCACTGGGACCCTCCACTCATCTCTCCAAGCCACAGCTAAACTGATCTACCAGTATGGAAATGGTTAAAAATGACAGCAACTAAAACATTTGCCTTTAGAGACACCCAGGCAGAGTGACAGAGACAAGTTTCCGTGGATGGATGTTTCTGATCATCCTGGACTCTGCGGGGCAGTGCTGCTCCAAACAGGTTTCAATACTTCTTCCTCCAACCCCAAGGACAGTTTCTCTTTTATTTTCCAGTGAAACTATGCATAATTAAGAAGCAGATGAGCCCCTGTAATCCTGAAGAGAAATGTGGGGAGATACTCACTTAGATCCTATTTCTCCCTCTGCCCCTGTACTTGTATTCAGTACTCCTGGGTATCAAATTCGGACACGTGCACGTCATTTTAATTCATTATTTATCCATATAGCCTCGAATTGTACCACTTTGACAACAATTAACAATTCCATAGTGGGAATCTGGACATTTGAAAGCAGCAGAGGAAGCTCAGAAACTGGAGAATGATTCCTTGCCACATGGTGGTGAGGAGAGGCAAGGAAAAGGTGTAAGAGAACATAATAGGATAAAAATAAAGTAAATTAAATGTGTGGGTTTGGAATCCCCCAAGACATTCTGGTCGAGAGGATCTCAAACCTATATATAGTTCAAGCCAAAGGCACAACCTTAACCCTGTTCTCTGATATTTAGTTCACAAATAGCCCTAATGCCAGCATTTAGTTTTTGTCCCCTCATATAAGTTAGAGGCTAACAAAAATGCAGGACTAATTTTTGGTAAGACCAAGCGGAATTCTCCAAGAGGCCACCACACGTGGTCAGAGACTTCTGGCATGTTAAAAAAATTTTAAAAGGGAAAAATATTTACACAAAATAGGGTCCACCTGGCACAATTCAGGCAAGTTTACCGTGTGCCTCTAGCAGCCAGAGCTCTCGCAGAAGCAGCGCGTGAAACATCTGACAATGAACTCGCGGCACATCCCGCAGCTGACCGGGCAGGGACCGGCCCCGGCCCCGCTCCGCCACATCCCGAGCTGCTCCCGCTCCTTCCAGCGGGGATTTCGCCGCCGGTGCTCTGCCTCCGCGGCGTGCCCGCTCCGCCGGCGGCTCCCGAGCGGGCGGCAATGATTAATTACGTTATAAAATGATTAATTACGTTATCAAACGCAGCCGTTGAGGACAGCGCTCCCGGGGCGGCCGCGCTCTCCCCGCTCCGCACCTGCGGCGGGGCCGGGGCGGGAGGCGGCGCCCACGCGGGGCCGGGACGCGGAACCCACGCGGGGCCGGGCCCGGCGGACTCACCCCATGTCTCGGCACCTCTCGGCGGCGGCGGCACCCCCGGGCGGCTCCCCGCGCTCGGCGGCCAGCGGCGGCCGCGTCCCCACTTCGCACATGCGGCCGCCCCGGGCCCGGCTGGCTGCGGCTGCACGGCGGCTGCACGGCGGCGAGAGCCGTCCTGCTCCTCCTCCCGCCGCCTCCCTCCCCCCTTACATAACCTCCCTCCCGGGCGGCGGCGGCACCGAGCAGCTCCCGCGGCTCCCGCCGCCCTGCCAGGCGGCAGCGCGGGGGCGGCGGCCGGGGCGGGGCGGTGGGCGCGCCCCGGGCCCCTCCGCTCCCGCCCCGGGCCCGGCCGCCGGCGGGGGGCGGGATGTGTCCCGGTGGCAGCGCCGGGAGGATCGGGGGTGCGGGCTCTCGTCCTCACGGTGCCCTCGCCGGGGGGCGGCCACCCGCCGCACGGGGACGAGGCGGCGAGAAAACTTCGGGTGAAGTTGTGGGGTGTCCCCACGCGGCCCCGCCCGCGGCCGGGGAGCCTCAGCGGCGAGAGGGGCGAGCCCACCCCGGGGACCGGCTGTCCCGCACCGGCTGTCCCGCACCGGGATCCCCCCGCCAGCCCCGGCTCCGCGGCGCGCTCCGAGCGCGGGTCCCGGGATGCGCTTCCCGCTGGAGGCGATGCCACGCCGAGGGATGCCCGGTGAAACGCGAGCGGGCCATTCTCTCCCCCTGACACGCCCTCCCCGCGGTCCGAATCCGCCTTCCCCGGGCCGTGAGTGTGAGCAGCGGGGCCGGCTCAGCCCCGTTTGGCCGCTGGCCCCGGCAGAGCCAGCCCCGCAGCCAGGAGCATCCCCCTGCTCTGCCCACAAATGTCAATCCCGTCGGGAGGGCTGAGTCTCCTCTGCTCTTCTCAGCTGCAAGTCTGTGCCATATAGGGTCCCAAAATTTTGTAGGTTTCGTGAAATTAAGAGGGACGATTCCTATCCAGGGAAGGAAACATTGGATTAGTGTGGAAGAGCCGTGTAATGGCTACCCAAGCACGAGGGTGACACTGGCATCTGACCGGCAGTCACAGGACACAAATCCATAGCACAGCCGTGGACTTGCTCGTTCGGGTGTTCACAGGACTGTGTACACAAACACAGTTACTCTTTCGTGGAGAAGATACGCCCAATTCACACATAAGACAGGCTTTTAACTTCACCCACACAAAGTTATAATTAATACTCTGCCATCAAGAGTGATTATTTTCATCTTTTTTTTTTTTTAATCTCACATTGATTTATCCTTTCTTTCCAAGGAAGTTTAGAAGTTGTGGGAAAGGCTTTATGTTTGCTTGCTTTTACTTCATGTCTAATTACGTTATAAATATAATACTAGAGACACTGGGGGTGTCCCTAGTATTACCTTGGGACATCATGGGAGTCTTGAAAGGAAAACTTAGCCAGCAACCAAACACCTTCCAGCTATGGACAGTGGAACCCCTTTTCTGACAGACAACTATTTCCTGATGTCTGGAACACCAAAATGGAATTTCAGTCCCATACACCCAAAGTCCATGTCACTGAGGGGAAAAAGGAGCAGGGTGAATGACACAGACATTGTCACAAGGCTGTGAGATGACACCTCCAATGTACCTGCTCTCTTTACCACAATCAGGGTTACTGTGGGTGTTGAAGGAGACTTAACTCCTTACCTAATCACTGATGTAAACGTTCCTATGTCCTGTTCTGCCAGCTGAAGGTGAGGCTCCATTTCCTCTGAAATTGCTGTGGCAAAAGTGACAAACCTTTCATGTTCATGGTGAGCTGCATCCTTGGATTTTGCTTTGATGTGACCATTCCTCTCTTCTAGGGGAAACAGAGAGGGGTAACGTTTTCTGAGGGTAAAACCAGCAGCCTAGAAATCTTGTGGAAAAAACTCTCACCATCGATCTGAGCATTTTATAACACTGTTTTTACACCATTTACCTCATTTTGTTAAATTACATACTCCATTCATCAGACAGAAGTTGTCTTGGTCCTCTCTAATTAGCTCATTTTGGTGAGTATCCAAAAAGCTGTGTTTTATGAACCAGTGCTGCATGAGACTCACAAGTATCTAATGGAATTGGATCAAAATGGGGTAATGCACTCACTGTGTGTGTCATGATAAGATGAGAATTGGAAATTGGAACTACAGTTGCCTTAGCATTTTCTAATTTCCTCATCTTTTCCAATCTTGCATTCAAGACTGTGTTTTCATCCCCATTTATAAAAATAAAGCTTAAGTTTATGGAAGCATAATTGCCTGTGAGATTCACATGATACTAAATTTTGTATATAACTTTCGTTCGTAAGATCTTCCTACTTCATTCATGCTCTTTACAGAGCTGTCTTCTATGACATAGAGAGTTTTAGTCCCATTTCTCCAGTACCCTGAGACATTTTCCCTGGCAGACAGCAAGTTAACCCAGTTTTCTGCTCTTATTTGGGAGTATTTGGGATAAGTGCAGTCCCTTCATCTGAAATTCCCACTGTTCTTCCAAATGGATGAGATACTCCTCCTTCCGAAGTGTGGCACACAGTTGTGGTCCTCCTTTCTCTGCCAAAAAGAGGATGAAGCCCTGTCCTCACTTCAAGTCAATGGTAAAAGTCCCGGGAATTTGAGTAAGGCCCAAATTTCATAGAAACCATTTAACAATATCAATATTGAATTAAGCAATTTTTCTACACAGTTCCATCTTGAACCTCTCAACTACCACTGTGTCCTAGTTTGTGTATAGTTCCCATTGATTTACATTATTTTTTTGTAATTTAGTATTGCAGTTGTTTAAGGTATTTTCAGTTCTCTGGAAATGAGAACTATAAATATTCTATCACAATTAATCAGTTCTCAAGCCTCATATGTGACATGATCTTTCATTTCCGAGCTGGCTCAGGCACAGGATGTGTAAGGGAGGGTAATTCAGTCCTCATTTAGTATTCACAAGTGTGCCCTTATTGCTGGGGCACGCTTAGGAACACTCAAAATACTGAAGGCACAGGATCCCTTGGTAGGATTCAAGCTGAGGAATAAAAATATCCACATTCTGTAAATGGGTCTAACTTCTTTAGATGAGAAATTTCTCCTATTCCCACAGGCCTCCTAAAGATATAATTTTTTGATTCCTAGATACAGGGTGAATATCCTTTTCAGAAAGCTGATCTAACAATCAGGACTATGTACCCAGCATTTTGAAAAGTACAGAGCTCACTGGGCTCTTCCTCTCTCTGTGTTTCTGTTCTCTTCTTTTGTTTGGTTCTCACCATTGTTGTCTTCTGCCACTCTATTTTATTTTAGATGTAATTTAATTGCAGAATAAACCTGCTGTTCGGTCTTTTTAAGCTATTATTCTTCAAGGTACTTTTCTCTCTATTTCCCATGGCAGATAGTATTAAATAAAATATTCAGTACTGTGATTTTCTCTTTTTTTTCCAAGTAGACTGATCAAATCTGCATTTTTTTAATCCAGCAGGACTGTGCAATTTCCTCTCTTTGACAAATAACCAACCATTTTCTATCTTTAAATGTTATCCAGGAGTTTAACCAAAATAAGCTTGGGGGAATTCTTGATTTTTACATTTGAAACAGAGAGTTAGTTTTTTTTAATCTCCTGACAAATGGAGAACTAATGTAATTATAATATCATTGGATATAAAATGTTAAAGGTGAAGCAACTGCGAAAAGATTTTAAATAATTTTGTTGAAAACACTCTGATTTGCAGTATTTGTTTTTAAAACCTACTTAATCTGATACCTAAAAAATAATTAGGACAAAATATCTATTTGCTTAAAATAATAAATGCTCTTGTCGTTTCAATTATAGTGTCAGAGCTCACAATAAACATGAGACCTTCAACAAGTCCTCCAGCAAGACACCTGATTTCTAAGAAAAAATGTTTTCCTCTCCAGTCTCCTTCAGAAATAAGCCAAAATAATAGGATTACTTTCTGTGTCTTTAAAAGCAAAAAATAAAAGGGAGAAAGTAATTTAAAAGCAATTTGTCAATCTACTTTAAAATGGGTTGCATTTATCTTATTATGGGTTGCAGTTCTCTTATTATTTTGTGCAGTTTATTCTTATATTTACTCAGTGCCAGGAAGCACCTGTCTGACTGGAGTCATAGAAGGTTCATGCCCAGTTTCTACTTCACTTTTTAAAGAGTTATCCTGTGAAATATGCAAGTACCAAATCCAAGCAGATGTTTATGTAAATGCAAAGAGCTGTCATTGTCACACTGTGGTATATGTTGCCTTCTCAATAAAGACAAATGCAGCCAACCAAAAATAATTTCAAATAAGATCTTAGAGAGAAAAGACCTGGATGCATAAAGAAAGCCAGCAAAACCAGAACAATGCTCTGCAGTCACCCCAGGACTCCAGGCTGGATGTGAGTACCCAGCAAGGTGCTGAAGGCTACAAAACTGTAGGAGGCTGCTGGAGTATCTGATGCTGACCACTGGCAGAGTCAGAGCATCTGTCAGCATCAATACACAACAGGACAGATCCTCTAAGCTCCTTTGTGCTTTGGTCTGCTAGAAATCCAGCCTGGGACACATCCAGGAGTGCACACTGAATGTTTGTAGAGGTGGTGCCACACTAGGAGCAAACCTCGTTCCCTTATCAGATCTTTTCCTTTGTACTTACCAGGTAAGACAGACAGACAATCCCAATTCTCCTTCTTAATGTTTTCATTGATGTAGGGACTTTGACTGTGTCCACTCCACTGTAAAGGAAATAAGTTTGGTCATCTGACAGCTTTTTTCTGTATGTAGTGGGAGTTGCTGCTGTGCTCTGGAATCATGCTGGTTTGAACTGGTTTGGCAGGGGACAGACTGGGACTCTGCAGGTGATGAGTGCTGCATGTGAGTGTCCTCACAGCTTGTATTTAAATCTATTTATTTGTTCATATGCACAAAAATACTGCTTCTTTGAGCACACATGCATGAGTGAAGATCTTCATAAAGCTGCTCAAAGGCATGTACCGGTCTCACAGATGAGATGGATCCTGACTTGCTCCTCAAAACTGCACCAAATATGTTCAATTTTTCCCTTCTAATATGCAGGGCTTTGCATTTCATATGGCACTTTAGAAGTTATCA